TCATGCGTCGGTTAACGCCTGCAGGTGGTCCATGTGCAAGGGTTCCCACACCCTCAGACCACAATGCACATTTCCAATCGGTGCTCTGTCCATTGAGCTATCGACCACTTGCTAAAGATGGGAATACCCGCTATACCCAGTCCTTGTGCGAACTTGCATCTAAACCCAAAAAGGACCGGTGAAAATTATTTGCATGCCCACGACCGAGGTGGACCCAGGTGGGTACCGGAAGTTGCGCTTATAACCAACCACCCGAATCACTAGCGGTTAATGGAAGGCCAAAAATTCGGGGGTTTTCGCCGCATCGCTACAGAAAATGTCATCGAAACTTTTGCGAACAAACAATGCAAGGTCATAATACAAACATAAAAAAAAAAAAAAAAAACAGGCCAAAAAAATAAAAAAATCAAACTCAAAAGCACTATAAAACCCCATTCGGAGTAGCTTTCGGAGTTCGCCAAAGTTTTTTTCGAGTCCCGTGTTTTTGCTAAGTGTTTTGATACTAGTCCAAATACGGCGAAACTGAATACAGATATACCCTAAAGCACATATGTATAAGGCAAAAAGAAAAATCGAGAAAAAAATACAAATTCATGGAAATATGGCAGTTTTGGTAAAAAATTCGTCAAAATTCGCCAAATTTTGGGCCTTCCATTAACCGCTTCTCACCCGAATGCACAAATTATGGACATACCCAAGTAAAATCATGGCCATACCGGGGACTGAGGTGGACCGCTCAAATTATTCATATACTCTATTATCAAATGGTTGTAATTATGCTCATACCCAGCAGCCGTTGGCCCACCACGGTCAACTTGGTGGGTTTGAATAATTTTGTGGTCCGCCATCCAAGGCCTGCCACTGAGTGTGGGTACACCCACAATTTTGGCAGCCCGACTTCTGGGCGTGATAATAATTTTGTGGTGTGAACCGGAGGCCCTGCATGTCTGGTTATGCCCACAATTTCGCACAGGGGAAAGTTGTGATCTATGCCAGTAATTCACACCAGAGGACTTTTTTTTGAATGCTCCTCTTCGTGGTCACGACCAAATTCAGTCTGTAAGTTCCCGGACAGAGTGAATGGTGCTCTACCTCAGACAGAGTGTTACATGACGCGTGTGCATACCACAATGTTCCTCTCCGTTCAACTCTCCTTCAAATCGGTCCCGACCCCATATGCATCTTGAGATCTCCTTCACATCTTGAGATCTCCACACCTTATCTACTGTTTACCACGTGTTTCCATCCACAGTTGACAGTTGGCAGCAGAATTGTACGCTCCACCATGTTGGTTTGTGGATGGGGTTGAGATCAAAAACGAGATCAGCCACACCTTGGGCATTGATGTTTTCTGCTGCCAGTTGTCAGCTGCGAATGGAAACACGTGGTAGGCAGTGGATGAGGTGTGGAGATGGGGATGAGAAAGTGGGAGTAGATGAGGAGGGACGAGGAGGAAAGGTGGGAGGGGGAAAAGGTAGAGGAAAACGAGCAAGTGGAGGTGTAAAGTTGTCAGCAGCAGGAGGGGGAGGAGGAGGAGAAGGACGGTGTCTAACGTGGAAGAATCTTACCTGGGTGGCTATGGCAACACACGACCGAATTGACAGCAAGGACAACAAACGATGAGCTAAACGTGGGCGTCATAACGCACGGTCTCTTGCATACCCCCTTGGGTTGATGCAGGTCAGCTATTACAGACACCGCCTGCGCAACGCCCAAGAGTTATCCACAATGTTGTATGCCAGGTGTCGATGCTATGTGGGTTGCTTGTCGCTGTTAGTCGTGGTTGTTCTGTTGATCTCCCCAGTATGGCATATCACACATAGGTCACATTCGCAATTGTTGCTCATATGGTAGAATCTTCTAGTCGCATGTCATAGATCACGGGTTCAAGTTCAGCTTGGGAATTTGGGGGGGGTCTTGTCCAGCTTGACCTGTCATCTCTTCAAAAGAACACAGAGTTCCCTCTACATAGTGGTGCATATATTTGACCTTCAGGCATAATAAAAAACTTGAAAAATATAGCTCGCTACACAGTTACACAGAGCATTACATAGCCTTCGGGCATATACAAAAACATGGCTTGTGAACATACACATGGCCTACGGGCGTACACATACATAGTTTCCGGGCACACATATACATACAACTATAATACCAAACTGGGGGGGTCTATCAGGTAGATGACGGGTATCTGCTCATGCATGGCTTACACTCTAGGGTAGGGTAGGGATATAAGTCGCTCTGGCTAGTCTGAGTTCCACCTAACCTTGGGTAAGTTAGGGGAAGGACGGTAGGATGTGTCCGTGGGCTAGCTTGCCTTGCCTAGGTACTCCTGCTGGGTAAACTCTTTGATATTGGGCATGTAGAAAAAAATTGCATGAGCCTGGCGTTCGAAGTTCCCGTACGACAAGGTTCGTCCACTTCCGCTTCCATTAGGGCTGAGGGACTGCCCAACCTTGTTGCTTGCCACTGCTGTCTGGTCCAAGTTGCCCTTGATATAGGTAGGGTGATGGTCCTGAGTGTTGGTCACACGAGGTAAGATAGTGGGGATAGGAGGTGCGCTGGGATAAATAATATGGGGAAGGGTAGGGAAAGTGACCTATCCTGTCAGGACAAGCATCGGCTGCTGCTGCCAGCGATCACCAAGGAAGGTGGCCTATCTGTTTCATTTTATTTTTTTACGTTTTTTTTTTTCCCTTTTATTTGAGTCATCCCCTGAGGTGATCCCTCTTCAACTGTCTCCACAATTTCCTCAGATTCTGCATCAGAAGCGTCCCCCCTAGACGATGCTGCATTTATATCCGTTTCTCCCAATTGCAGATAATTTGCAGGTTGTGGACCCGGAAATGCGCCTTCCCTTCCCTTAAACCATCAGTACTTGGCCCAACTATCGGTTGCGGCCCTTTCCCGTTAACGCGCCGCGACATTTGGGCTTCGGCCTACCGGACCGCATTGGCTGGAGGGCACAACCAAAATGAAAACAGAAAAGACCGATGACGATTCAGTAGGACTTGGCGTGCAGGGGGCTGGGAGGCTTGGCTTCGATAGTTGGGCCAAGTACTGGTGGTTTAACCCCCGTTTTCCTTTGGTTTACAGATAATCTGCCGGCTTTGAACCTGCAACCTCAGACCACATTGGCAACCGGTGCCCTAACCACCGAACCAAGCCCTTTATGCCTTTTAGATTGCCCTATGGCAAACCAGATTTGGCGATGGTGGGCAGCAACATGGAAAAACCTCACAGGAGTGGATCTCCCATGGGACCCAATTGTGCTACTGCTAGACCAACCATCGTTGACCCAAACCATATGGACTACCTTCCAGTCGACTCTCTTCATTTACACAAGACTGGAGGTACTTATGACTATTTGGCGCGCACGTTGTTCCCATGAAAGACAGGAGTCCAGCTTCGGATACCTCCAATCCAAACAACACATTGTTGAAACAATCCGTACAAATGTGCAAAAGGCGTGGTCACGCTTCAACAACACACTTAAAACAACCACTGACCCGACAAAAAAAGTACAGCTCACGAATGCCTTCAAACAAACATGGCTTCACCCGGCCCAAAAAAATAGGTTTTTGCAGGGGGACCATAACATGCAATGGAAGCCATGGTGGACGGACGAACGAAGCTGGCAGTGGAAAACACCGCCCTCGTTCAGCCGACATCCACCGGACCAGCCCGTGATGGTGCCTCCCGTCTTCAGCCAGTGCAACCGCAACCCAACAGGCTCCCAATAGCACAATACAAATACTGCACAAAACACAAACCCACAATTGCCACACACACCGCCTCCGAGCACACCCCGAAGTCCCAGACCGCCCCCGCATCCTCTGCTCCCAAACGGATCCCCACCACTGACCCCCCTACCCCCATTAACTCCACTCTCCTGCCAACCGACCTCTCAAACACCTCCCCCGCTGCCAGAAGGTACCCCGCCAGCGACCCCCCTACCCCCTGCAGACCTCCCCCCCTCACAACTAGCAAGTCCAGTACCTCCACCGCTCCTGGAAGATACCCCGCCCCAGCTCCCTTGCCCCCCAACGGATTCTCCCCTTTTGGAAGAACACCTTTCCCTAACACTGTCCTCCCCTCCCCCCCCTCATCGCATGGCCCCGTCGAAAACCTGTCTCTTATACACATCTAGATGTGTATAAGAGACAGCTCCACCGCCATATGCCACAAGGGTGGGAGCACAACCCACTGAATCCTCGATCGGAAGTGCCGACAGAGAAATACAAGTGACATGGGAGCCCAGTTGGGGGCCAACCGACGCTGGAACAGACAAAGACGGATTGGTCAATGAGCCGGAGTATGCAGTCACCATAACGAAAAATTGCACAAAATTGCACAAAGGGACATGCACACCTACATCGTGTGTTCCCGGGCAGACTTCCAACTCACACAAACAAAAAGGCAGTTTGAATGGGGGGGTTGCAGACACCTGGGATTGAACTACGACTGGCAAACTGAAGAGGGACAGGAAAGGAGGATTCAGTTGGCAATTTCCAGGGAGTGACTGGGTCAGCAGGGAAAAGGAGCTCTAGAAGTAGGAAGGGTGTTTGATGCAGCCCCGAGGGAAAGCCAGTGCTCCAGGCTAGGAAAAGATCAGGCCACAGTCCCAACAAAGGTACCGCTGGAATGATGTATCTAAGGGATGCTGGACCCGTTTTCCAGCAGGTGATGCTCCCCACCAATAGATGGAGCAGCCCGACTGGCAAAGCCTCAATTCCGGTGGTTCTCTTACCACCACCGGGATAGAGGCCTTGCACAAAAAAAAAAAACAGAAAAAAACACAGGCCACTTGCACGACGGCGTCCATTTGTTTTTGGCTGGCTGAGATACTGGGGGTCTTATTTGCAGAATAATGGGGCCTGTGGAATGCATGAGGACAGAACAGATGGCCTGTGGCTCGGTGGTTAGACCACCGGTTTCCACTGTGGTCTGAGGTTGCGGGTTCCAGGGATTGACAGAGCCGCCGTGGGCCCAGGGAAACGGCGCTGGGTGGAGAAATTGTTTGTGTGTAGGTACGGTAACAGCCACTACCACCCCTAAATCTGCCGAAGCCACTTGTGCCGTTTCCCATTTGCGACTGACGCTCGGTACCGGTGGGCCCGGTCGTTGTGTGGCACTTGTCCCATGTCCCACATGTCCCATGTCCCATGTCCCATGTCCCATCAGCGGCCGACTCTCGCCACCAGTAGGCGGGGCGATTGTGTGCGGGTGACAAGCAGCCCTACATCTGCCGTTGAGGGCCGTTAACTCGGCGAAGCCTTTCTTATTGTCTTTCGGTAGTGGCCGCAGGGACTTCCGAAGCTGCCCTCACCGGCCTCCGTTAAGGCCCGTTAAGATCCGTTAAGGGGCCCCAAGCTTGGCGGCTGTGGGCTGAGAGAGGAGGTAGGAGATTGGCGACGATGGGTATCTTCTTGGATGAGCCCAAGTACGAGGTGATCGACCGTACGCCTGGCTTCGGGAAGACTGTACGGAACTTCAATTTGGACGACACCATGAAGATGGTGGGCCTTACAGGAATGTCGCTGCCAGTTGGGTACCTTGCAGGTGGCAGTGTGAACGTGCGTGGACCATCGATGTACTGCGCGGGCTTGATTGGATTGATGGGAGGGTTCATGTTTGCGTATCAGTGCTCCGCTGGGAGATTGATTGGAATGTTTCCCAATGAGGAAGATGTGAGAAAGCATAGGCACTAAGGATATGTGTCTGTGGGTGTGTGTGTGGGGGGGAGGGGAGGGGAGGGGAGGGGGAACAAATATAGGAGAGACATCTGGGGAAGAAAAGGCACTGAGGGGATATGAGTGAGTGTGTGAGTGTGGGCAACTACAGGAGAGCCAGCAGCATACTGGGGGGGGTGTATAGAACGCACGGGGATTGTTGGTGTGATGTATTCGAGGCAACTTTCGGTCTAGATACAGAGAGAGAGCAGCACACTGGGGGCGGATAGGAGAGAGAGAGAGAGAGAGAGAGAGAGAGAGAGAGAGAGAGAGAGAGAGAGAGAGAGAGAGAGAGAGAGAGAGAGAGAGAGAGGACTGCGGATATGAAGTTTGTCTAGAGGCCTGCTGTACAAGGGACTCGCCTTCAACACACCCTTGAAAGCATAGATGATGCTTAACCACAACTAACTTGTGTTAAGGTGGATGATCACTTACAGTGGATTCTGCAGACTGTAGAGGGTTCAGCCTCCTGATGAGTCAGTCGGTGAAACTCCAACGAAACAGTCTGTCACAGCCCCTCGTTTGTTGTCCTCTTTCCCCCCCCCCCACCCTCTGCCTACGGTTTATCGGGCAGCTCTGTTTGACGATATATACAATATATTCGGCCTCCTGATAAGTCGGTGAAACTCCGACGAAACAGTTTGTCACAGCCCCCCCTCGTTTGTTGTCCTCTTCTCTCTTCTCCCACCCTCTCCTCTCTGCCTACTACGGTTTACCGTCGGCAGCTCTGTTTGATTATATATCGTCACATAGATATCAGAACGCAAAAGCGAAAAAAACAAACAAAGGAAACAAAAAAATATAAATTCATTTTTCATCTTCTTCCTTACAGCTCCCCCTGTTCAGAACCTCTTGCGTACAAGGCCGCCCACTTTGTGTTTTTGTTTTTTGTTTTTTGTTTTTTGCTTTTTGCTTTTTGTTTTCTTCTGTTCTGGATGTTTTGAGGAAACAGACTCCGATTGTTGATAACTTGGGGTATTCTGTGAAGCTTGAGTAATGGACAATATATATATTAAAACAGAAGGTGGAAAAACCCACTTGCTAGTCTTGTTTTTTTTTTTCCGTCTTTTTTTTCTTCACATTGGGCGACTGATGGAGCGGAGCGAAGGCCTTCTTCACATCGAAACGGAAAAGAAACAGTGAGCCGTGATGCGAGCACTATATTCGCTACCTAATCTGTCTTCTTCTCTGTTCCTCTGTTCAAGGCCGCCTCTTCATCCCTCTCTCTTCCTCGTCTGCTTGAGATCTATCTACCCTCTCTCTCTCTCTCTCTCTCTCTCTCTCCGTGTCTCTCTCTATCTACCCTCTCTCTCTCTCTCTCTGTGTCTGTGTGTCTGTCTCTGACTCTGTGGTCTGCTTCAGATCCTTCTATCCTTTGCAGAACCCTTTTCTATCTGCATCTTCATCTCCTTTCTCCATCTCCATCTTCATCTCCTCTCTGCTCTCTTCTTCTCCACTCCCAACTCCATTTTCCTTCTTCATCTCTATCTCCTTACTCCCATCTCCACTTCCATCTCCATCTTCATCTTACCTCCTTCGTCTTCGTCTCCACTCCCGACTCCTATCTCCATCTCCATCACCTTCTCCTTACTCCCATCACCATCTCCATACTCGCCATCTCCTTGTTCTTACTCCTGTCTCCATTTTCTCCTCCTGAGTCCCATCTCCTT